ACTTGTTTGTGCCATGAGTAAGGAGTCCCACCCACATCCCGTGATGGTGGTGGGAATGGGGTTCCCCTCCATGGAATGGGCTGGCTGAGAAATAAAAGCTAAGAGAAATAAAATGGCTAAAAACCACAAAACACAGAAAGTAGTTTCAAAAGCAGGGGCATGACAGGGAAGCTGATCAGAAAGGTTGAGCTTCTAGACAAAATGAAGCCCTTACCTGCTTTATGTATATCCGGAAACATCAAAGAGATTCTATGGAATGTTCTTCTCCAAAAAAGGTTAAAGGTGGGCTGTTCAGTTCCTGACAGATTATGCCTGTCTCCAGAGCTACTGTGAGGAACCTTCCTAGCAGAGGGGAAGGAAAGGTCACATGCATTGGCAATCTGTTGCTGTGGCCTAACTCTCCCTGACTTCATGCTAGAGAAGATCCTCATGTATTTCTCAAATGGCTACCTGCAAAGGAGTGTACAGCAGCTAGGTGCAGTGGCACACACCTATAATCCCAGCGGTTTGGGAGGCTGAGGCAGGAGAATTGCAAGTTCAAAGCCAGCCGTAGAAGCTTATTGAGGCACTTAGAAACTCAGTTGAGATCTGTCTCTAAATAAAATACAAAAAAGGGCTGGGGGGAAAAAGTGTGGGCAGGTGAGGGGGGAAATGTGGCTCAGTGGTTAAGTGCCACAGGTTCAGTCCCCAGAACCAAAAAAAAGAGTATACAGCAATGCAGTAAAGTTTATATCTTTTCCAAAATTTTTAAAAATGTATAACACGAAAGATATGGGATTATAAAGGAAATCAATTATAATAAAACAATTATAAAATATTTTAAAATTTGATTTAGTAATATGTGCTTCTTAAATAAAACCTGGCAGTCGTTATAATAGCTGTTGCAATTTCAAAGTCATGGTGAGCATAAACAGTATCTTAAGCTATGGGCATCAACTTGATATAATATGAAAATAGATGTAATTTCTTTTGGTAGCAGAGTTTACAGATGCTGCTAATACTACCATAACACGTTGCCCAAGATATGGGGACATGGCTATATTTTGGTTAGAGATTTATGAAATAAAGGTATTATTCCCCACCCCCCAACCAAGTTCATAGTCTTTATTTTTCTGTCCGGGTTTGATCATCAGCACTTCCAAGTGCAACAGAACTCTGGTCAGTTGAGTACAGAACAGATCAGACTCAAACTCTGACACGTATCTGGCAAGGCATAAATAACCATTATTTCATCAAGTAGCAATTGCTGCTCTACACAAAAAAATGTGATGATGTGGTGCAATGGGTTATAACTGTGGAAAATCATTTTGATGGAGTGAACCCCAGAGCTGCAGCAGCTGTAGGCACCACCAAAAGGCAGAGCATGCTAGAAAATCAACATCGACATCTTGGCTGTGAGTCTAAAGGCAAGAAAAGGACAGTTCCCTTTATTAAAGATTCATATTAAACAAAGTTTTCTACTGTCTGGTAGATAATATCTCTTAGTACTTTGACTAAAAATGGATTCCATTCACTTAGCTTATCATCCCTGTATTTTATGATAAACATTTTCAGCAATCTTACCTATGATTGCTTACTATTTTATGCATTTTTAAAAGTCAGTTTACCTCTGTTTTCTTGTCTTTGTATCTAAAATAAATACTCCGTGTTGAAGTTGTCATATACTTTGTCAGTAACGATATTGAGACTAAGGGATTCGCAATTGTTATCAGGAAAAATAGGTATTATCATAAGATGCACTGGATCATTTTTTCCATATTCTTATTGGTACATTATAATTACACATAATAGTGGATTCATTGTTACAACACATACATACATGCACACAATATAACAATATGATTTATCCAATATCATTCCCCAGCATTTCCCGTTTTCCTCTCTTCCTCCCTCCCCCTGGCTCCTTTCCTCTTCTGATCTTCCTTCAATTTTGATGAGATCCCTCCCCCACCTTTCTTTTCCTTTTTCCTCTCTGGCTTTCACATATAAGAAAAACCATGACCCTTCACTTTCCGAGTTTGGCTTATTTCACATAATGTTCTTAAGTTCCATCCATTTTCCTTCAAATGACATAATTTCATTCTTTATGACTGAATACAACTCTATTGTTACCCATTCATCCATCGATGGATACCTAGGATTTATAGTTTGTCTATGGTGAATCGTGCTGTTATAAACGTGATAGGCATGCATTGCTATAGTGTATTGACTTTATTCTTTAGGATATATACCAAAGAGTGATATAGCTGGGTCATTTAAGACCCACTGAATTCTTAATTTTCTCAGTGGTGGAATTTCTTTTAAATATCAGCTTAGGTACAGAGGCACTGACTAAGAGACAAAGAATTCTGTGGTAGGTTTAGTGAAGTAAATAATCTCTAGAAATAAGAAATGTGGGCAGTGTGTTGCAGTTTTTGAGGTGAATAGGCAAGTTTCATGAGCATTTTATGGAGTTCAGTTGGCTCATTCTTTCATTCATTTGATTATATTGAGGACACCATCCAAGACTGCCACTAGCATTGAGCCAAATGACCTCCATGCTTGCGTCTCTTCTCCATTTTTTTCTTTCCTTCTTCTGGTTCTCCTGTGTATCAGTTGCTGCCACTTCCCCCCTTCTTATGCTGCTTAACAACATTCCTCCCCATCTTGAGCCCCTTTGAACTTCTTTACCCTCTTTTTTACTTCTTTCTATCTCATCAGGAAGAATACCTCATATATTCCCCTTTGTAGTCCAGAGTTTCCTGTCTTCTAATGGGAAAAAAGGTTTGTGCAACTTTTCCCTAAACGCATTTCTCCTGATTTTAAAAACAACAATAACAAAATGTAATGAGAAAAATGAAGACATGTTTTTCTTCAGACTGGTCAATGTTTCTTCTACCCAGGGGAATCCAGAGTAGAACACATCTTCACCTAGGCACATAATTGCAAAGATTGGCTGACAGGTAACTAAGATTGCCAGTGATATTAATTGAAGTGACTCTTGTTTCATTTTTCTCAGCTTTTCAGCGTATAATCAAAACTGTTGAGAAAGTTCATTATTACATTTGTCAGAGGCACCAGGACACAGTAACAGGGAGGTGTACTGATGGCAAGCAGTGGTAGCTGAAGGTTGATACTATTACTACTGCTATCACCACCACCACTGTCTTCTAAGTTGTAGTAGAAACAGTCATTATTGTTTACTGAGTGCTTTCTGTATGATAGATACTTAGGCTAAAACCTCTCTGTGGATTGTTTCACTCAGCCTCTCAAAACTCCAATGGATTATCTTCATTTTTCCAGTCCAAAGGAAACAGATTCTGAGAAGTTTTAACTAAGAAATTAAAAATCATTTGCCACATGAAATGGACCAAATCATGTTATATACATATACAAATATATCACAGTGAATCCCACTATTTTTTTTATAGCAGAGAAGACTTAACATTAAAAACATATACTTACATATTGGACAACTCAGAAAAGTATAGTGAGTGGATGGAATCTACTGTAAATAAAAATGCTACAAATACCATTTAGTTGCTATCAATAAGAAATTTACCTGTTTAAAAAAAATTCAAATGCTGGCATTGTCCAGAAAAATTTAACAGTTTTATGTAAAATTGTTATAAAGTTGAGCTGCTGAAACTGGTTCACTGAAACATTTTGACTTGCATTAATGCTTTACATTCCCACATTTATATTAAAAATTCACACACAAATGAAAATGGAAAAACAGCCAATACCTGATTTCTGTCCCCTATTTTTCCACTCGCAAATCATATACTTAGGTACCTTTTGACCCCGTGGGAAAAAAATCTAATGTTCAGAACTACCAATGACAGGAATAAGAGAAAAAAAATTTTTTGAGATTGAAATGTTTCCCATTATAATGAATTCTTAAGCACTTTCTCCAACTGTGGCATTCTAGTTAGATGTCTTTTGGCATAATTGTTACACATTTTGCATGGATAGCACAGAGGTTGGTGTCTTCAAAAAGGCCAACCAGATAGGCCTCACTTGCCTCCTACAAAGCACCAATTGCTACACTCTGGAAGTGCAGATCTGTTTTAAAGTCCTGAGCAATTTCTCACACCAGATGCTGGAAAGGGAGTTTGTGAATCAGAACTTCTAATAACATCTAATTTCACGGAGTGCCACAGTACCAGGCCTATAACAATGAAATTTCTTCACCCCTCCAGTAGAGGATGCACTCTTGTGAGCACCTTTTGTAGCTTGTTGTTTCTTGGGTGCTACACTGGCTGATTTGCAGGCAGTCTGTTTTGTAGGAGCCATGGTAGAGAGACCTCCCTACTTACCCCCTTTCTCCTTCAGGTAGAGGTCGGCGCGCTAGAGGCGGCACTGGTGTTAGAGAGCAATGGGCGGCTACAAACACAATCTGAATTCCATTATTTTGTATAATTATAATGAACCAGTAGAATAAAATCCCTTGCCCATCTAGATTGCTATTAAATATCAGATGCTAGGAATTGAGACTAGTTCTTTAACATTTCAGAGCCTATATCCTTAACCTTTATGCTGCATAGTCTCTTACTAGGGAGACTCTGAGAAAACAAAACTAGACACTGAAGCACAGCTGCTTGGGCCAGCTGCAGGGCAGGCAGTGCCACTCCCCCAGTTGCTCCTGTGCCCCACGAGAGAATGCTCTTGACAGTGGTCAATGGTAGACATTAGCAGCGCTGTATCCCAGTTTCCCTATCCAAGAAGTCAGTGAACTGAGAAATACATTTTGACAGTGAGTTCCACCTAGAAAGCTCTGTTCCCTTAATTGGAAAAAGTTACTTAGCCACCAATTTCTGGGAAAAGAAGATATAATGTTAAACTAATTTGTGTTTGTTCAAAAGACAATGAATTTTAAAATCTAAGTCAAACTCTCATTTTGGTGTGGTGAAATATAAGAATGGGTTATGAAATTATCCCCAAAGCAACAGATGTTCAATCACTTTTTTACTTTCATGTGTGTGTATGTGTTCCCTCTTTCATCGGGGCTGTTCCTAAAGCTAAGAAGAAACTTCCCAACATGCCTGTCTTCTTGGAAAATTCCTCCTCGTGTTCTAAAATCTTCCCAGTCAGAAGCTGTTTTTGATGTCAGAAATAATGCACTACCCTTTGTGCCACTGCAAACATTTACAGACGAGGAAATGATGATAAAGAGTGCAGGTGAGTACATTTCTCACTTTACCTTGTTACTCCTCTGGTCATGAGTGGGGTCTACAATATGAAATTACATATGAAAGATGAAAGGTGAATTCATTAAGTTTGTGAATGGAGTTTTCTAACTTTTTAAAAAAAAAAAAAACAAACAGTGATATATATCTAAAAGTTAAAAACAACAATAGACTAAAATGCTGTCTGGTTGAAGGGCCCCCAACCTCTGTTCTCTGCTTCCCCAGTTCTTGCCAGAAGCTGCTTTGTTAAAAAGTTTCTTAGAGAGCCTTGGAATGGGCACCTACTGTGGGCAGCTAGTTGTATAAAGGCCAGGGATGCTGCTAAACATCCTGTAGTACACAGGACGACTCCACAACAAAGACTCACCTGCCTCAAAGTGTCCATAGTGCTAAGGTGGAGAAACCTCATTCTGTGTGGCCATGCAGCTATTCAAAGGCCCATGTTAGATGGAGTGTGCTGGCATGGAAAGATCTAGACATGCGTGGGGAGAAGATTGAATGTGTTTCGTATGATTCCTTTGTGCAGAGATATAAGTTGACAGATAAATGGATAATTCATGTGTCTGTATAGATACAGATGATGTTCAAAGAAAAGTTTTCAGAAAAAATACATAATAAACATAAAAATAGTAACCTTTGGGGAGATGGGTGGGTAGCCAGAACAGGGAATAAGGCTTTCATTTTTCATTTTATGCTTTCTGTATTGTTTATATTTTTTGTATATGTTACTCATTTTTAATGGCATCAAGGATTACAAAGGGAGTTGGAGAATTATACTTTTCTATATTAAAGAAACTTTATAATTTCTGCTTTAAAAGAATAAGTGCACTCACATGCATTTAACTTAAATTAAAAATTAAAGTTTGTCAGCAAACTATCAATGATGATTATAGTTATTATTAAAATGACTACCACTTGAACGTAGACTTAATAGTGATTCTTTTTTCTGCAGTTAAAAAATTCGCACAAGAAGAGATTGCTCCTTTGGTTTCAACCATGGATGAAAATTCAAAAATGGAAAAATCAGTAATACAAGGCTTATTCCAACAAGGGGTATATATTTTATAATTCTTCCAATTTCTGTAGATACTTTCCAGTGTTAACACTCAATGTGTTCTTTTAAATTTAGGGACTGTAATGAGCATAATGAACCCTTTGTTTCCTAGCCAAAAATGTCTGTGCTCTCTGTTCATTGGAGGTCTTCATTAATATTTTATACTTAAAATTTTTAGTAGTTGAATTAACATTATATATGGAAATATTGTGTTTTTTAAGAAAAAGGTTGGCAGTGAGAGAGTGATTTTTTTAGAGCAGTGGTTCTCACCCAGGAGCAGTTTGGCCTTCCAGGGGGCATGTTGCAGGCATCCAATGGAGTAGGAATAATGCACTGCCCTTTGCACCACTGCAGCTCTTTCAAATGAGGAAATGATGATGGAGAGAGCAGATCATCAAGTTTTTCGGACTCCAAAGCCTATTTCCTTAACCCTATGTCACAGCATCAAGGGATACTGCTCAGCATCCTGCAATGCATAGGACAACTGCCGAAGCAACAATAAGATGCCATAGTGAGGGTTCATTCTACCTGAGTCTCCTACGCTTGTGCTCAGCTTAGACACTTAGAAACGGGTGACATCTGAATTCCATATTAACCAGGGTAACAGATTTCTAACTTTTTAAGTCACTAGACCTTTAGTGAAACAGACAAAAAAGATTAAAATAGAACTACTTTGATTATGGCTAGAAGAGGTTATAAGGGACTCCAAGGAGGACATTTAAAAATCACCCCAACACTCCTGATTTCTCCCTTCTCCATAGATGCAAAGTGATTTTTTTAAATACTAAGGATGGCACAGAATTAGTCACTGCTATTCATAGTAATTGTCCTAAATTTCATCTGTCATCCTGTTTGAAAAATAACCTTGCCACTTAGCCATAGAGTTTCATTTCTTCCTATTTTAAAGTGACCAGCTTTTAGTGTTTTTTCCAACTTTGTGTTAGCAAAGAAACTCTTGGGAACATGGAACCTTATGTGGAGCCACACCAGGTCAATCAGAAGTCCAGAACATAAGACAGACAGACTGAATAAATCCATCACTAGCTAGCTTTCACTGTCGTGGTTTATGACCCTGTAGGCTTCTCTGAGGCCTCTCCTGAGGTGGTAGACCTCAGAGGCCTTATGCTCCTAGTACCCAGCTCCATAAATTGTTTCTGCTTAGAGTAGTTCCAGTTACCTAACACCTGTTGTCTCAGCTCTTTAGTTACCTGACACCTATTTTCCAGTTGAGAAGTTCATGACTTTTTATAGAGAAGCAGTATCTCCAATGGCTGCTCCAAATATTATAGTCAGGTAGCTGTCAGGCCTACTAGTCTCCAGGCATGCCCAGATCCTCAGGTTTTCCTCAGAGAGCATCATTTCTGGTTCTCTCACATTTTAATCATCCCCTTTGTGTTTCTGCCTTCATAGCAGCAAAATCTTTCTTCATCCTGAAACATGACAGCCATAACCCTGACCATACATAACATGGAGTGATTCCCAGAGAGTATAGTGAGAATTGGAGCATTATCATTTATCCATTACCAGCTGTAGGTCTTGATTCACATGTTCACATGTTCCTATCTGAAATAAAGTCTCTTAAAAATGGAATGTTGGGGCTGGGCTTGTGGCTCAGCAGTAGAGTACTTGCCTAGCATGTACAAGACACTGGGTTAAATCCTCAGCACTACATAAAAATAAATAAATAAAGGTTATGTCCAACTACAACTAAAAATATATATATAATTTTTTAAATATTTATTTTTTAATTTTAGGTTGACACAATCTTTATATCTATGTGGTGCTGAGGATCGAACCCAGTACCTCACGTGTACTAAGCGAGTGCTCTACCACTAAGTCACAACCCCAGCCCTCTAAAATATATATTTTTTTAAAAAGTAAAAATAAAAATGGAATGAGTGTTACCCAGGAAGATTCATATGTCAGACTTAGGAGTAGTGACTGATCAGTTGGCCTGTATCAAGGTTATTAGAAGTCTGTGGCCAACATTTTGTTGTGTTTATCAGGCACCTGTGCCTGGTCAAATGTGACTCCAGCAAATAGTGCCAAGTATTATCTGCTAGCCATCCTAGACTTGCTAAAATTACAAGTGGATTGGTCATTCAACCCTTATCTCAGCTGAAATTATCAAGAAACCTGTCTAGAAGAGATTATGCTAAATGAAATTGTAAATGTTTCCCCTTGAGGGCTAGTCATTTTCTTCTATTTACTTATTATATTCAAAGTGGTATAAAGGGGATAGTGTTGAAAGACCAAAACAACTCCTATAATTATTAGCAAGAAAGGACATCAGGTTATGTTTATATTTCATAAGATATTTTCTCATTCCTTTCAGTTATTCTTTAGATCTGAGGTGTTCCCCAAAAGCTCATCTTTGAGACAATGCAAGAATGTTCAGAGGTGAAATGGTTATTTTTATGAGAACTTTAACCAAATCAGTAGATTAATCCACTGATATGGATTAACTGGGTGGTAACTGTAGGCAGATAGGGTGTGACTAGAGAAAGTAGGTCACTGGTGGTATGCCTTTGGGGTTTATATTTTGTCCCTAATGGACAGAGCTCTCTCTCTCTGCTTTCTGACTGCCATGTCCTGAACTGCTTTTCTCTGTCATGCCCTTCTATCATGATATCTTTCTTCACCTTGGGCCCAGAGCTATAGAATTGGCTGACCATGGACTGGACCTCTAAAACTGTGAGCCAAAATAAATTTTTTCTCCTTTATGTTGTTCTGTTCAGGTCTTTGAGTCACAGTGACACAGAGAAAACTTAAACAGAATTTGATTCTGAGAAGTGGGGTCATTACTATGACTAGGCTGACTGTGTGGTTCAGAAGCCTTTGGAGCTGGTTTGTGAGGGGAGGAATTTTGAAAAGATTAGAAATACAAACTGGAAAAGCTTTAGAATGTTGTGAGTCCAGTTTAATGGATGGCTGGTGGGAACTCAGCAGAACAGAATGCCAGTAGGACTGCAGACAGTAAAGACTGGGCTCATGAGGTTTCAGAGGAGAGGGAGGACTTTATTGGAAATTGGGCTAGAGGCTGTTCATGTTAAGTTTTCTGTTTTCTGGCATCCTGAGACTTTCTGTGAGGCTGAATTTAAAGATGATGGACTTATTAATCTGGCAGACAAAATTTCAGGATAGCACAGCATTCAAGGGGTGGCATAGATATTTCTGGATGCTTTTAACCAAGTTTAATCAGGAGCAGAAAGCAAAGCAGAAAGATTTGAAAAACTTGCAGTTTGGCTAGGAAAGTACCAGTAAAGCTAGGGCTGAGGTATGATTATTAAAGACATTACAGCAGTATAAAGAGATGCTAAGTACTTTGCACAGAGACAATGGAAAAGATGGCATGAGAGCTTCTCAGGAATTGGCAAGACCACAACCATATCAGGCTCAAGGGTGTAAAAGTTAAAATTCCATTGAGTCCTTGGGGGAACACTGCTTTGCACATGGGGACCTAGGAAGTTAATTTACACTTCTCAGCCATCCGGCCGGACTCAGAGGCTGCTATAGCCATGGTCCCAGGAGGCTTGGCTACTACTCAAGGTGGTGGCAGACCTTGGTGTCAACCACATAGTGCCAGTTCTGCAGGACTGAAGAATTAGAGTTCGGGGTTATGGAGGCCCCCACCAGTATTTAAAAGGAAGGCCTCGGAGGCCAGGCAGAGTATAGCAGAGTTGGAGTTCCTATGATCTGCACTGAAAGGATGATGCATGAAGATGTGAGAAGGAAGCCTAAGCTGCGGTGGAGACCCACAGATTGAGAGATGCTACTAATGTGGAACATCTGCGGAGGAAAGCTGCAGGAATCGAGCAGACACAAGCCAAGAGAAAGGTCATGTGAGCTGCAACCAACAAAGCCATGGGGTGAAGCTGCACAAAATTTGGAGAAAACTCACAAAGCCATGTCCCCAGATGCTGGATGTGGAGCTACAAAACTTGTATGGCCAGCTGGATTTCAGTCTTCCTTCTTCCTATACTCCTCTTTCTCCATTCTTTTGGAATGGAAATGTTTATTCTGGACCATTATACATTGGATATATTGTTACTTGCTTTTGATCTTGGCTCATAGCTAAGTTTGCCTTGAGTCTCAGACATTGACTTTGGGTAATGCTGTAACTTAAGACTATGGAGACACTTAGAAATAGACTAAATATATTTTGCATTTTGAGATGGGCTTGAGTTTGGGGGGTCCAGGGGTGGAATGTTATGGTGTAGATAAAAGGTGTCCCTCAAATGCAAGAATGCAAGGAATTTCAGGGATGAAATGATTAGATTACGAGAGCTTTAACCTAATTAATGCATTATTCCACTGATATGAATTCACAAAGTGATAACTGAAGGCAGGTAGGACATGGCTGGAGAAATGAGTCCCTTAGGATTTATATTTGGGGTTTATATTTTGTCCCTAGTGCATAGAGCTCTCTCTGCTTTCTGACCACAATGTCCTGAACTGCTCTCCTCTGTCATGCCCTCTGTCACAATGTTCTTCCTCATCTTGGGCCCAGAGCTATGATGTCTGCCAACTAGGGACTGAATCTCTAAAACCATGAGCCAAAATAAATGTTTCTTCTTGAGATTTTCTTCTCAGGTCTTTTGGCCACAGCAATGCAAAACTGACTAAACACTCTTAAAAGCACTTTACCTCTTATTTTCATTTTTGGAGGCCCAAAAGAAAATAATAGGTCTAGAATACAATTTTATTCCTTTCCAAAATAAATTATTTCTGTTACAATTTTTTTTCATTTACTGATATCAAACTAGCCACAGTAGCACACACCTGTAATCCCAGTGACTTGGGAGGCTGAGACAGGAGGATGGCAGGTTTAAGGCCAGCCTCAGAAACATAGTGAACCCTGGCTCAACATAAAAATAATAAAAAGCAAATAAAAAGAACTGGGATGTTTCTCAATAGAATGCCATGGTTTTATTCCCCAGTACCAAAGATTAATTAATTTTTTAAAAACTAAAAACATCTATGTTTACAGTGTATTTTTAACTTTTCTTGCAAGAAATTTTCAGGCATAAAAATAGACTGCTTAATCTGTTTTCTTGTTTTTCCTTTAGTTGATGGGTATTGAAGTTGATGCAAAGTATGGAGGAACAGGATTCTCATTTTTTTCCAGTATCCTAGTCATAGAGGAATTAGCCAAAGTTGATGCATCTGTTGCTCTCCTATGTGACCTCCAGAACACAATAATTAACAAGCTGATTAAAAAACATGGAACAGAAGAACAAAAGACCACCCATCTTCCTAAACTGGTTACAGAAAAAGTGAGTTGAAAATGAGTTGTTGAAATGGTTTGGTCTTTTCTAAGTTTGCAATATTTTCAGGAGAAAAGTAGCTGCAGTGTTAACTTTTATTATCTAGGACACAATGCAGCACCATAAATTAATCAAGCGGTGCTCAGTAAGCCGGGGGGAAAAAAAACTCTGCTTCTCATTTTCTACTTGGATATTTATACAGTAAAATTATTTCTTTTTGTCACAATTTTGTTTTCCAATTCTTTTGTTGATAGTTTCATTTGTGTTGAGTTGGCTTTCTCCTCTAATTATTAGAATTAATTTAGATAAACTTAAGCATGTATTCTCAAGTCTGCAAATTTGTCTTAGGCAAATAGTGTGGTAGTTTGAGGGAAATAATACTGTGAGAGTACTGTTTTGATAAATATAGACTTTTTAAAAAGTAGCTATGGGTTTTATTTACAAATGTCCATTTTGCTATAAGCATTTGTCATGCAGAACATAAATGCAATTGTTATTTGGACTTTTTTTTTTCCTCATGTGTGTAGATAGGAAGCTTCTGCCTTTCAGAGACTGGAGCAGGTAGTGACCCCTTTGCTTTGAAGACCAGAGCTGATAAAAGGGGAAATTACTATCTCATCAATGGGTCAAAGATGTGGATTAGCAATGCTGCACATGCAGGACTCTTCCTGGTTTTCGCAAATGTGGACCCTACCCGTGTAAGTTTGAAAACAAAATTTCTTCTCTTTTCCTCCTCATCTTTTCTCTTTTTCTTTCCTCCTTCCATTTCCTTTGTAGGACTTAGTCTTAAATTTGTATTTTCCTTGGTACTGAAAATGTGAGATTGAACTGGCATCTTTTCACCTTATTTATTAATCTCTTAAAATATTTTGACATAATTATTAATTACATGAGACCATTTGTTATTTATCTCCTAATATGCTATATAAGAAGCCAATCTTTAATTTTATATGATTTCAAATTTTAATAGTGAAGAATTTAAGTACCTATTAGTACATTTATTTTTAAGAATGTTTTAGAACTGGTCACAATGACATGTAATCTCAGCTACTTGGGAGGCTTAGGTTGGGGGATCACAAGTTCAAGACCAGCTGGGAAACTTAGTGATACCCTGTCTCAAAATTTTAAAGAATTTTAAAAGACTGGGTATATAGAGTGTCCCTGGGTTCAATCCCCAGTACCACAAAAAAAAGTATATTTTTAATATTTCCACTAATTATATTTCATTTAATTGAATTGAAAAACTTTAAGGTATTTAATAAAATTAAATTTAAAACATGGAATTCTCATAATCATATTATACCTTTGTAAAGGTCGGGCGAGAGTCGGAGGAAGAGACCACCAAGAGACTGTCTCATGCAACAGCAAAGGGTTTATTTGGGGACCAGCATGCTGGGGCTCAGAGCTCACTTGAATAGAGCAAAGAGAGAGAGCCCTGAGAACAGCTTAAGCAGAGCTTATATACTTTCCTTGGAGAGGGCAGGGAGGGAAGTTACATTTTGCAGTTTGGCAGTTGGGGACAGCACATTCTGGGAACAAGATTAGAAAACAGTTCACAGTTGGGGACAGCACATTCTGGGAACAAGATTAGCAAACAGTTCTTAAGATTTCAACAGTGTTTTGTTAAGCATATAGAAAAACGGAGTGACAAGTACCTATATTATTAACCTTTCACCTTATGACAAAATAATTTTAATATCCATTATGGTTTCTGAAGAAGCAAAAGAAATGGCAAGGTTCCTGGTGTTGTATCTCACATCTTCCACTTATTTCATAATGCACACATTCAGAGTTCTTTCCTAAGTATTCTAAAGTCTATTTTTAGTTTTCTTTTTCCTTGGAACCCTTTATGAACAAGAGATTTTATAAATCCAAGTGGAATTTTAAATCTTCTTTCTAGGGATATAGAGGAATCACCTGCTTCCTAGTAGATCGTGACACAGAAGGCCTTCATATAGGGAAAGCAGAAAATAAACTGGGCATCAGAGCTTCTTCTACCTGCCCAGTAACATTTGAAAATGTCAAGGTGGGTATTTAAAATAATCAATAAAGTATTGTGAAAGGAGCTTCGGGTGGTACCATAGGGAGTGTGGGTGTGCAAGAGAGCTATCAAAATACTAAGTGGCAAACGGTACGCACAGGAGAGTGTTTTGTGGAATCCTAAAAGTGCTCTTAGGTTAAGTTGTCACCAGAGTACTTTTCATAGTAGTTTAGACCAGAGTGGAAACCTTTCTGCCCAGTAACTGGCCTCGGAAGAAAATGCTGAGAATTAACCTGTTATGTTTTATAACTTGCATACTTCTGAATGACTACGACTTTATAAAGCTTGGTGTACTTGTGAAGGAAGTCTGGTGTCAGTGCACCAAAGGCCACAAGATGGGGATGTTGCTCAGTGAGAATGAAGAGCAAGGAGGTAGCACCCCACAAAACAATATAGCTGGAGTGCTGAGGCTGAGGCTCCAGAGCTTTTAAACAGGCAGGACAGGTTGTCATGGGTTTCCCATCACTCATAGTGGAGCTTGATCTTCATGCACCTGTGTGTCTGGGGAGGGGGTAGGAGATGACTTTACAGTTGTCATTTGGGTCTGGCTACTTCCCTTTCCTGACCTTCTGATTCTCCCTTTTCTTTCTCATTCTTTCCCATTCTGCCCTGCTCCCTCTCCTAATTGCCTATATTATAAAGCTAAGTATTTTTTATTGTTCCCAATCTGAATCTTTAATCTTATTTTCAAGTACATTTTAGTCTGTTTTCTCGTTCCTCCTTTTTTCTCTCTTTTGCATGCACACAGGTATGTATACACACACTACACACATGCCTCAGTTGACTTTTAAAAAAGGATGAATCATCTCAACAGAAGAAACCATTATTTTACAAGTACTTCATGTTTTTTATAGTTCCTAATGATGTTATCTTACACTATTAATATACACATAAGAATTGGAGGAAAATTGTTATTTATGCAATTGATGAATTGTTCAACATTCCCTTTTTCTAGAGTCATTCATTCATTTATTGAGCAGACTACTAGGCTCTACACAATGCAATAGTGAATAACTGACTTGGGAAAGTAGTTGTAGAGACTTGGAGAAATCAGCAGATAATCTCATTAGATTTTAATAAGTACTGTGATCAGGTACTATCACACAAATTGGAAGTATATGAGCCTTTAAATATGTGTGTAATCAAATCAAATTATATCAAATTAAATTGAGAAAAAGGTGCACATTTGTATTTTCAGGTTCCAGAAGCCAATATCTTGGGACAAATTGGCCACGGCTATAAGTATGCTATAGGAAGTCTTAATGAAGGCAGAATAGGAATTGCTGCACAAGTAAGTCAAATTGTAACTCTTCCACAATATGAGCCAATCAAAATGTAAAAATAAAGAAATACAGTAAGACCAATGAGAATGTGGAAGCTTTTGAACACAAGATGGCACCCTTCCCTTACATGAAATGAAAGAACGGCTTGTTATTTCAGATTCCACTTTAGTCAATTATGTAAGTACCCAGAGAACCAAACAATGGCTAAGAGATAACATGTTTTCTATTTTGAGAACACTGAAGTATTATCTAATACCTGACTCAATAACTTCTAAAATGTATTATAAGTTAAATATGTAATTTTTATAAAATCAGCATCTCAAAGCATGAAATTCATTCTGGAAGACATCTTTTAAATTAAGAATAAATACATATTCTCTGTGATCTCTGACTCAAACAATGAAAGACTCACTGCTTAGGGTTTTACAAGTGTGAAAATGGAGCAATTGTTTGTGGCACATGAAATAAAACAGCCATAAATAAATACACAGTGTAATTTGAGAATTACTCAAATTTTTAACAGATTTACCCTATTGTATATATTCATTTTATATTAAATGACATTATTTTCTAGATTAATAAAATGAATAAAGGCTTTAGTTTATTATAAATATGTTACTTTTATAGAACATTTATTTTATAGGTGAATATCTGAAATTCAATTTAGAGCCTTTAGATTTTGATATACATTGATATACATTAGCAATTGGAATAGTTAAATGTTAGAGTATTACTCCAGATATTTTCCTGCTGCTGTTAATTTGTTAACAAACTGTTCATTTTGGTGCTGGTAATTAAGTCCAGGGCCTTGAATATGCTAAGCATGCCTGCTACCCCTACTGCTAAACTACATCCCCAACCCAACAGAGTGTTCTTTAGATCAGTAATTAACCTAAGTTTCCCACAAAGCTAGGTAATATGTTACTAAAGAGCACTGGCATATCTATCCTTTTTAAAGTTTTTCTGTGATTTAATTTCATCAGATGTGGCATTAAAAACTACAGTACCAGACCTGATTTTTCCCAGGCATTTAAATAATAGAGATGTTCTGGCAGTAAAATACACAGCATGGTCTTTAGTATAATTACCCCAAGTTATCTTATAACCTAATGAAAAGTTAAGGTCAGATAGTTATTATGTCTCTGTGGATGGCTTTTAGAGGAAGAGGCACAGGTAACAGAGTGAACTGAGGTCATCCATCCTCAAAACACTGCAGTTGGAGAAAATTTGGTTCTTCAGTATTTTTCATGGAAACATTTTACTGAGATGAAATAGCTTATTTTGATTGATAATTAAAATTTCAGTCTTTGTTTCAGTATAGGCTATTGTTTCCATGCTTTAAACTCTAGTTATGACTGACATCATCTTTTCTTATAGCCAGAAGCATTGAGCCTACTGCCTCACTTTAAATTGGGGTTTGTGGGGATTTGTCCCTTTAATTTTCTTATGTTCTTTTTTTGTTTTTGTTTTGTTTTTTTGTTTTCAAGTACTGGGGATCAAAGCCAGAGGCACTCTACCATTGAGATACATCCCCAACCCTTTTAATTTATTTGATACAGGGTCTTGCTACTTTGCCAAGGTGTTAAATTTGTAATCCTCCTGCCTCAGCCTTCCAAGTCACTGGGATTACAGAAATGAACCCCCATGCCTAGCTGTTCCTTTAATATTTAACATAATCTTCTGTTCTGCAGAGAGTTCAAAGGAAAGGCTAAATGAAAATATGAATGAGCATTAATGAAATATTGATGTTTTGGGGCATTCCCCCTAAAGCTTTAACTATTGATTTTTTTTCCTTTTTAAAAACCTCCATAGTTTGACATAATTAGTGATTTAATAGCTACCTAATGTTGAAATTTAGAAACCATTTATAAGCTCAAATCATTCAATAGATATAGAATTGATTAGCAGTGACATAATTCAGCTAAAATTGTTAAACACCATCCCTTATTCTTCAAACTTGTAAATTAATGATTTTACCAGATGCTATCAGTTGTTCTCAACCTTATCTGTGCATTAAATCACCCAGAGTTTTAAAATGCGGATGTTTAGAACACACTTAACCACCTCCTCTACTTCCAAGATTTGGATTCAGTTCTTATACTCAGATGTTATATCCAAGCATGGGTTTGTTTTAATCAAGTTCCCCAAATGATCCTAATGTGCATCCAAGTTTGGGAAGTCCTGTTCTATTATGTTCTGATGTTTCTTCCATTGAAACTTTCATTAATTATAGGCAAAATGGATAGGAAGGTAGAAGGTTAAGAAGTGATCTTCCATATTTGACTTCTGGAAGGACTGGAGATGACACTACTGTCTTGAAGGCCAGTTGTGGGCAGAATTTCTATGGCTCACTTTGTGCCTAGAGGATCAGAGCTTAAAGAAAAAGATTCCTGAACAGTAGCTTAGTTGCATGAATACAGCCATGCCAGAAGATTTACTCTGTCCTAGAATTAAATACACTCATATTTATACGACACCAGTCCAGATTTTCTCCCAATTACTGGAAGTTCAGTTCTATAAATGCAATAGATAAAGATATATAGTTAATACATACCTCAGCACTTTGGTAGATCAAGTTTTCCTCCTACTCCATCTGTTCAATCTGCTAGAAAAGTAATTTATGACTTGGGTAACTATAACCATAAACTTGTGGAAAAGTGAGAAATTCTGGTTTTCTTTTCCTTCTTTTTTTTTTAAACAGATGCTGGGACTGGCGCAAGGATGCTTTGATTACACCATTCCATATATTAAAGAAAGGATACAATTTGGCCAAAGAATATTTGATTTTCAGGTACATAATTAGACTGTTCTAGTGTCCCAGACTCTCCTCTCTTCCAGTTGATAAGGAGCTTTGTTGAAAATCCATGGAGGGAATCACTGGAGAGGATTTTAATGGAGGGAGGAGGGCAGGAATAGGCCTCTGAGCATGCACTTTTACATGCTTTGATCTTTGTCAAGGGTGGAACTGTCATCCTTGTGTTCCAGCTGTGCTGTGACATGGGATGTCTTGGTGAATTTTTCAGAGATTTCTCCTCACTGCTTCATAAGTACAGGACATGAAGTCTGAAGTCAGACTTCATGGATTCAAATCCTAGTTCTGCCACTTGCACATTGTGTATCATTTTATCTGAAAAGCTTGGGAACAGAAGTGTTGCAGATATCAGGTGTTTTTAGATTTTGAAATATTTACATAGACATAATAAAACATCTTGGGGATGGGCCCCCCATCTAAACACAAAATTCATTTATACCTCAAATACATCTTATATACATAGCCTGAAGGTAATTTTATATGATGTACTTAATGATGTTGTACACAAAACAAAGCTTCATGTTGTAGATTTTTTCACTTGTGGCATCATGTTGCCATTCAAAAATTTTCAGATTTTGGGACATTTATGGATTTCACATTTTCAAATCTGGGTGTTCAATCTGTCATAGCTTTAGGCTTTGATCACTCTAAGCCTCAAATGCCTCATTTATAATATAAAGATAATATGATATGAGACATCCTATTTTAAATTAGATATGTGTGAAGTGTTTAACACACTTCATGGTGTAATAGTTCTCAGTAGATGGTAAAACTCGTCTTAAGTGCCCTAGTCAGACCAGACCCATGTGGTAATCTCAGAGGGCACCTTGACACATACATCTTACTGGAGATACAGTTTGCTAATGCAATTGAGATACTCTGAGCCAGACATTTTGGGAAATACTGGACTGGTCCACTGATAGGGCATTCAGGGATTCCTTGATGGCAAGGGTATTCTTGTCCACGTTGAGGTTTTACCAGCGTCAGGACAGCCTGTAGAAGCAGCTTACCAGGCATTGCAAGCACCCTGAAGTGTATTACCTAAAATTCCAGAATAATTACTTTACATGGTTGCAAAAACCTCCCTTTTTATTTTAACAGTCTGAGTTCCAAGTATAATTTATTTCTATACTATCAGCTCTGTCATGCTACGTTGTCTTCAGGTTTATAATCACTAGACATCACTTGAGCATACTCAAACTGCATGTGTGGAGATATAAAGCCATGGACATGCAGTCAATCCAAGACCCAGAAGATTGAGCATGGCACACCTGACCAGAGCCTGCACAGCCCATGCTGTCATCCCCATGCTATACTCAGGAAACTGAGGCACTTGGAGGGCAGGTTTTCAAGGTCATGTTACTAGTATGGTACCAAAATTACAGGTTTTTGTCTTAGTTTTTGGTCTTGCATTTCATTGTACTCAAGTCTTATCTCAGAGCCAGCTTCCACATAGCTCACAGCAAAGACAGAAGGCGAGAGAGGTTTGAGGAGGCTGTTGATCTTCTCTGCAGGAAACACCCAGGAAACAGTGTTTACATGTGTATGTATACATATACATATAATACACACATTTATATATGTGTATATAAATATATACACATGTACACCTGGGGGTCAGATGTACTAACAAGTGTAATCACAAAGACAGTTTTAGAAATACCTGGGGTGAGTAATTTTTTTGAAACTTAGAAATTTGATCCTAAAAACCACCATTAACTATATAAGCTTTGATTAAAGTTAGTAGTAGGGTTTTATGTATTTCATCTCATTAGAATGATTTGGGTTTGCTTTGCATATGTTCATTTATTTCTTACCTCTGGAAGGTAAAAACCAGACTTCCTCCTTACTTCTTTCAGTTTGTCGAACATGCTCTTCATGCCAGGCCCTGGGCTCACAGTGTATTTAGGGAACTAATATAATAATAATAACTAATAATAAAGAGCAGCAACAGTGTGCTCTTTAGGGAAGGAAACACAACCACTATCCCTTTTCTGCCTTGTGTGTACTTACTGGAATAGACAACATGGATGGTGGCTGTAGATTTAAATGAACTGAATGTATTTTATGAAAACAGTCTGAATCTCTGAGTTTCACATAAGAAGCCAGAAAAAATTTTCATAACCTTGGTATTGGCATAGAAATAGACAAATTGACTGTATAGAACAAAATAGAAAGGCCAGAAATAGATCCATGCAGGTATGCAAATTGAAATATATTAAAGATGAATTGTAAATAATGAAACTATCCTTACCTCACACCATATGCAGAAAATAGATTTCAGATGTATTAAAGGGATAATGTAAGAAGCAAAACTTTAAAAATCACAGGGGAAAACAGAATAAAACACACAAGAACTAATCATAAAGGATAAAATTGGTGAATCTGACTACCAAATTTCTTTCCCTCAAAAGATGCCAGGAAGTATTTTACTCAGCATTAAAAGAGAATAAAATCATGGCATTTGCAGGTATAAATGGATGGCGTTGGAGAATATCACGCTAAGTGAAGTAAGGCAATCCCAAGAAACCAAAGGCTGAATGTTTTCTCTGATAAGTGGATACTGATCCATAATGGGGCAGGAGGCGAGGCATGGGAGGAATGGAAGAACTTAGGATAGGGCAAGGGAAAGGGAGGGGGCATGGGAGTAGGAAAGATGGTGGAATGAAATGGATATCATTACCCTGGGTACATGTATGACTGCACATGTGGTGTGACTCTACTTTGTATACAACCAGAGAAATGAAAAATTGTGCTCCGTTTATGTACTATGATTGAAATGGATTCTGCTGTCATGTATAACTAATTAGAACAAATAAATTAATTAATTTTTTAAAAGAAGATGCCAGGAAGTAAAAAGATCATAATGGAGAAGATATTTGTGTTACACATAGATTTGAGGGTGTTTGGTTTGTTACCATGTTTCATAACCTATATGTATGTAACTTAGTCTTTTTTATACACATCAAAGTTTGATGTATCACATATCACAGACAGAAGAATCTACAGGGTATTTGCAAACAGTGCCATTTTTCTGCAGTTTATTCCTCCTTTTTGTTTAGGAAAGGCCATTCCTGGGATTATATGAGTACTTGCCCAATCAAGAGTCTGTCTTAACATTCAGCACAGATTATTATATTTATTTGTCTGTTCTCCCTGCAGGATGCCATAAATCAGAAGGACAGGGAACTCTTGACTATAATGTTCAGTGTGATGTCTGCATTGCTCAGCATAGTGCCTGGCATATACTAGCCGCTCAATAAATGTCTGGGTGAATAGATAAGTTAGGCATGAGAATCATTTCAGTCTATAATAAACATCTTGTGCCTAGATTTCCAGGAAATTGCTTATAACTCTAAATATTATTCATTTCTCACTCGCTAAATCACTCACATTTTTTACCCTCAAAAATATCAGAGTGGTATGAGTTTTTTTAGTGTGGTTTTTTAAAGTTCTTTTTCTGTTTTCTATAACCTTAAAGAAAGTGGTATCTGTTATTGGGTTTTTTAGTAAAGTCACATTAATAAAGTCACTCAAAGGGGGTGCTTCAAATATTCCTTCATTACTTTGCATTTAATATCATGTGATGCCTTGAGACCATGTGCAAAATCAGAATTTTCTTTTTTTATACATACATTTATTTTATTTATTTTTATGTGGTGCTGAGGATGGAACCCAGGGCCTCACATGTGCTAGGCATGCACTGTACCGCTGAGCCACAACTCCAGCCCCAGAATTTTCTTAATTCTAGCAAATAAAGAATATAAAGTTTTGCTATTAGAGTTTAATTTAAGCTCAATTTTCATCATAAAAGAGAATTGAAAATAATTGTTAATAACACTCAGATTTTTAAATCTGACTTTGAGATATTAAAACTTGACAATTATTAAATCTTGACAATTATAAAGAATTACATGAGCTTTGAATTTTTCTGAGAAAAGAGCAATCTTGTAATGTCTTAGTTCATTTTTGGATTGGAGATTTTAAAGTATTTTAGAAATGAGTATAAATTTCCTTTGGGATATATTTTGAATCTGTCAGAGTTATATCTCCTAAAAGGACCAAAGCTGTCTCAAGAGATCCTAACTCTCCATCTTGGGCCTTGAATGTTACAGGGGCTCCAACACCAAGTGGCTCATGTGGCCACCCAGCTGGAAGCTGCACGATTACTGATATACAACGCTGCTAGGCTTGTAGAAACTGGAAGACCATTCATCAAAGAAGCATCTATGGCCAAATATTATGCAGCAGAGGTATAAAAAAAAAAAAAAAGGAATTTTTTATTTTTACCTTTCCACTTAAGAATGTTGACTGAACTTAGGTTTTTTTTCAAGTAGGTAACATGGACTTTTCACTTCTGACAGTTGAAAAGCAAAAAAGCAAAGCTACCCTAGGAGAACATTTTAATTCTGTGGGGTCTTGTGTTTCCATGAGTAGTCAGTTCAGGTAGCCCACCCTAACAAGTCCACAGAGGCACCTCCTGTGAGCAGTGGTGTCAGGCCCATGGTTTAAGGTTGAGGCATGGAAGATGAGGTGTTAGCAAATGAGATTAAAAGCGCAAAGAAAAAAATTGTCTGTGTTTAATGTTTTCTGCTCATACTTAACATTTAAGGAGTTAGAATTTGGCTGGAGAAATTAGCCACATCATCGAACAGCTATTTCCCAGTCTTGACAATATGTCTGATTTATTTTAAATACTCATTTAAGCTCTCCAGTCCCTAAATTTATCCTCCTACCTTAACCTCCCTTGTATTCCAACTAATGCATCCAGCCTGTGCTTAATCTGCCCATCTACCCAGTGCACCAGTCAGAAACCTCAGTGTCATCTTAACATTCTACTTCTTCCCCATGTTAAATCCGTCATCCGTTCTTGTAGATCTGCCCACAAAAGATTTCTTGAATTTATGTACTTTTCTCTCCCTGGAACATCTCCATCCAAGCAAGACATGTCATTTCTTCACCAAACTACTGCAGTCACCTAACTGCTATCATGGTTCCTGTTGCTGACTCCAAAGTATCTATGAGGTCATGTCACTCTCCACTTTAAACCTTTACTTCATTGCCTTCTCATACAAATATTTTTGTGTTAGTTTTCTATCACCACTACTGCAAATAACCAAAAATGAAATGGCCTAAAACAATATAACTTTATTGTATCCCACTTCTGGTGGTCAGAAGTCTGAGATGGGTCTAACTGGGATCAAATTGAGATGTTGGCAAGGCTGCCTTCCTGGAGACTCCCAAGGAGAATGTGATTCCAGCTTAGGCAGGCTGCTTGCATTCCTCAACTTCTTCCTCCTGTACTGTCTATACAGCCAGTGCTGTAGCAGAGTTGAAGCTCTCCCACACTTCCTGTTGCCTTCAGTGATTGACTACTTTGCCTTTCTCTGCCCCTTATTAAAAAACCTTGTGATGACATTAGATCCACCCAGATGATCCAGAATAAAATCTCCATCCCAAGGTCTTTAATATAATCACAGTGGCAAAGACATTGCCATGTGAGGTAGCTTATTCTGTTCCTGAGGATTAGGCTGTGGGCATCCTGGAGGGACCAGTACCAATAGTCAAGCTGCTCACCCTCCTCTAAGGCCGGCCTACCCCTCCATTCTCTTTTTATCACAGCTTTCCCTGATCCCAGCCCATCAGCTCTCTCTCTCAGGTCCCTGAGGATGATGAGCCCCTTCTCCCCGTGGCACCTTTGCATGTGTTGTTTCTCAGATTAAAACATGCCCTGTAACTCCTATTTAGGTCTCAGGCTGTCTCCTCCAGTATCCCACCATGTAAATCACATCACTTTCCCAGCAAGCTCCTCTTTTGCCCTATGCAGTTTATCAGTTTCTATGCTTTTGGTTTAATGTCTTTCTCTACATGACCACCAGGACCAAAGGGGCAGTGACTGCTCACTGCCAACCATTCTATACCCACAGACAGGCAGAGTATGCAGTATAAAGGACACCCTTGACAAATGTCTGCTAATAAATGATACCTAGTGGCAAGCATATGAGTGTGAACAATTCTTTGGTTTTCTGGGTTGGGGGGCGTAGGTCAGGTGGAGTGATTGCCTAGCATTCCAGTACTGCAGAAGACAAACAGAACACCAATATTCTGATTTTCTTAAGGAAAAAGGAATTTTGCAAATTAATAGGATACTTATATTAGAGAGAATGGTACCAAAAAATGCTAGTTTATAAAACAACTTCAGTACTTCCAGTTGCCAGTAATAATAAAACCATGTTACTAAAATAGCATAACAAGTGTTTATAATCATAAATTATGCGGTGTCAGTATGTAACTTGCTGCTTGTTTTTTGGTAGATTGCAGGGCTAACAACTAGTAAATGTATTGAATGGATGGGAGGAGTAGGCTACACAAAAGATTACCCTGTGGAAAAATACTTCCGAGACGCAAAGATTGGTAAGTAGATTTTTTTTTACATTTTATTTTGTTGTTATTTTGGCATTTGAGCTACTATATTTGTTGATTTTATTTTACTGGTACCTTGGCATAAGTAGTTTTAATCTCCTCAGTATATGTTTATTGGCTCTCTTGTAGCTGGATTTTTTTTTTTGCCCACCTCTTCTATCTGAAAAATGAATTTGTATTTTAAAAACATCAATTTGTCTTTTTAAGTGCCTCAACAGGCCTTTGAGTAAAACTGCATGAAGATCTACTATCTTAATTTTTCTTTTACTAAAAGTCTTAATATTTGTGACTAGTGTGACTTAATACTGTTTTTTGAAGTAGGGTTCTAATTTCAGAAGCTAAGTGCCCTATCAGGCTGGAGTGGTCCAGTGCTCTACCACCTGAAAGGAAAATAAACACACCAGCTCAGACGCCACATGTTCCTCAGAGACAGTCAGAGCTTATGCATTGATGGTTTAGGAACCAAAATCTTCAATTGCTCCATGCTGATTCTGGACATTTTATAAGCCAAGGAAAATTGTCATCTTCCCTTGGTCAAAATGACTTTGTCCAGTACTTCCATATACTGGGGACATTAAATAATGTGACTAGCAATGGATTTGAGCAACTACAGAGGTAGTGTTTATAGTTTTGTCTTTGACTCTTAGCTGTGGGTCCCTTCCTAATTGTTCCTTTTGCTTCCTCTCATTTAAGGTACAATCTATGAAGGAACTTCCAATATCCAGCTGAACACCATTGCAAAGTACATCGACCAGGAATACTGATGGCCCTGGGTCTGGGCCCCTCCTGAATGCCATTGGTCTAACATTCTAAACTCCTGTGCATTGTTGGGGGTATTAGGCTCCATGGCATTGTGGTGTTTTATTGAGGTCCCCAGTCCAGGTCTGTGGCCTTGGCCTTTTCCCTTTATGGGCACAGGAGATCATTTTTTAATTTGGGAAGAAATGCATCCATATTTTCTCCAAAATTGACTTAAAACTTAATATTTATATTATCACTGTAATTTCAGAGTATGCAGAAGCTTTGTTCCGTCAACATTTGGAAAAATGAAGAATCAAAGTATTAAAAAAGTAGTTATTTTATATTTCTTCTAAATCTTATATATTACTGCATCAGAGAAACATTTGTTACAGTCAACGATTTTTATTCGATACTTTATAGATTTTATTGTAAGTAGCCAAATGAGGCCAAGAATGATAGAAATTTATTTGGAAAAAAAAATCTAAAACTTCTTAAAAAAAAATCAGTGAATGGGTGGAAATTAAGGGTGTAACTTTATAGGTCTTATAATAAAGCAATATAATTTGCCACTTTAATTAACCTATATAAAAACTGCATTTCATAATGGTTTCAGATGATCATTTTAAAAATCTGTCTTTGCATTAATTTTCAACTATGAAGTTCAAATGAAGTTGTTTTAACTGAAAATATTTAAAATTGTAATATTCATTCTTTTTTGCACTATTTTCAATAATATAATTTCTCTGTGTATGTGTTTTGTTTTTGTTTTGTTTTGTGTGTGTATGTGGTACTGGGGATTGAACCCAGGGCCTTATCCATTCGAGGCAAGCACTCTACCAACTGAGCTATATCCCCAGTCCTCTCTCTGTGTTTTGATTGAATGCTCTTTTCTCAAACTTTGTAATTTGGCTTCATCCTAAATAGTAACTAATTCAAAAATTGGGTTTTGGTTCAGTGATTCTCAAGAAAGAGAGATGTTGCCTCCATTAAGAAGCACATCAAAATCTTATAAGGAATGAGGGATAGAAGGGAGCTGTAGAGTTTGAAAAATCATAATCAACTTAAAGCAATTTTATATTTGGGAAGATATAAAATATTTACTTTATAAATAAATAAAAGTAAATATTTTTCTACAATACAAATGACAGAAAGGTGGATCCCAACAAAATACATAGCAGGCAATGCCATTCCTTCCATATAGGGAGTCTCAGCAGGAAAAAACCCTCCAGGGTGGATCCTAAGTTCTCACAGAAGGACAACAGATGAGAGTTTTGTATTCTCTGAAAAACAGACATGGGTCAAACATGAGAATTGTTCTAAGTCTCATGCAATTTCACTGAAAGTAATCATTATTATTTTACATTTTTTTACTTTAATGAAAGGATAAATACTAAGAAAGCCTAACATTTTCAAAGTAATTTTGCTTTACACATTCATGTTTATTGAATTGTGTTAATTTCTGCAATGCAAATCATAGTTGAGTATTCAAAGTTGTGTAAACACAATTCAGGTAGGAATTACATTAAAATATTAGAAAGAAATAAGGACAAATTTAGACCTTGGTCCAAAGAGAGAGTCTGCTTTACATTCAGATAGGAAGATGATGGAAACCCCATCCAGTCTTTCAAAACAAAAAGACAGTCATTTGGTAAGAGTAGGGGGTCAGTTAACTACCCTGGAAGTGGGTGAAATGCCCTGGGTGGCTTGGATATTTTTCGTCTCTGATGATGTGGAAGAGAGGTGGATATTACAGACGATGGAGGAAGAGCCGATATTAGTAAACAGAATCCCACCCTCTTCCTGTACAGTCAGAAACTTGTGAAAGTGCAATTAACCTCATGTTTAAATTTGCAGCATCAGAGGCTGCCATATATATCTGGACAATGAATGTATATTTAGGAATAATGAAGTTCTAATTTGTGATGTATACTTTGTGCATGTCACAGAGAATAGTCAAAATTAATCATTTTCTATATTCTTGTTATTATATGATCTTATCATCTTCTGTTAGTGTATCATTGTGTTGTTTAACCAGAGAAGATACTGTGGGTTTTCCCTGTGCTTCTTTCATTATAGCTTTTCTTCTGATAACCATGACTTTGGGATCTTTAAAATTTTCTATCTTGAGTTTGTGTCTGGTGGAGATCCAGCCTCCTGAAGCCTGTTGTTATTGTTTGTTACTTTGAGGATTGGGCTATTAGTTTGAGGATGGGGATTAGAAAGTAGAGAACTATTTGACCATATTTGGGGGCTGGGGGAGCTGGTCTTAACCCAGCTGCCATATTAGTATTGTTAGAGAATTCATCCATGAAAATGAATCGGTTATCAAGAATTTTAGAATCATGGAAGGTTAGACCTAGAAAGACCTTAGAGAACAGCCCAGACATTTCCTCATTTTTAAAGTGAAGGATCATAGCCTTTGCTCTCCCAAGATTATGCAGGCACAAAGACAAGAATCCAAATACACTATTAATACTGTCCCTGTTCCAACAGAAATTGGATTTCTTCCCTGCTATTGTGTGTTGGTTTATTTTAGATTTAACTGGTGAAGAATAAACATTTCAAGTATTAGGATTCATCGGTGTCTCACTTACATATATTAATCACTTGCTAAAGGCACTGGCATTTAACATGCTCTCCTAGGTTGTAGCTGGGATCAAACATGAAGATTATTGTATGTGATCGTTTGACTTCATTGTTATTCTGTAGTTTAGTAAATGCATTAGTTGTATTCTCGCTGCTTTATTTATGCTGATCTTTCATAAAGTGAAAGTTTTATTTTAATGGTTTTTATCAGAATGTATTCACTATTACAAAATCAATATTTTATGATGAATGAAAACATAATGCACTAAATTAACTGGAGATTTTTGCTACTTTAATAAGACAAAATCGTTTACACATTTAGATGAAGAAAATAATGTAATCTTCCTGCAAGATAGATGCAACACCTTTGTTTACCAAGTCAATAGCTCACCTCTCCTGTAAACCAAGTTTAAATTCATGACACTAAAGAAAAATTTACCAATGTCCTCTACCTGCCCCCTGGCAAAATAATTAGCTCTTGAGTAGAAAAGTCACCTCTTTTGAGCATATCCTCATGGTTCATATATTATCTGACTGATATTTAAGCCTGTGGCTTATGATTTACTTTTAGAAACTTTATGTTATTGTACTTTTTACTCAGTGGTACACTACAGTCTAAAGCCATAGAAGATTTCAGCTTATCTGACCCACTGTTTCCTACATTATTTTAAAAATCCAGATTTTCCTTTTGTCATTCAGCAACATGTTTGAGTAATTACTATATTGGAGGTATTGTGGGCTCTGACCTGCCATTGTAAATGAATTAGAACAGCTCCTTATTTAAATGTGTGCCCACCTTTTTAATGTTAATACACCTGTCTTTTTAATGTTTTCATTGATGTATCCTCCTAAAAAGATGGAGTAGAAAACTACCAAGGTCAACCCAATTCAGAAGTACCCCCTCAGATCTGTTAGAATGACAAGTGCTAACACCTCTTAAGCTTCCCATGTGCCTGTGCCAACTGTCATACTTCACTTTTGGTACATATTGACTCATATAGCCTATGAGTTGGATGCTCTTATATCCCATTTTACAGGCAAGGAGACTGGGGCATAGAGAATTTCAATAAGATGCTCATTGGTACATGGCTGGAAAAGTATTGAAAAATAAATGAACTACAGAGTGCCAAGGTGCCATCTCCTCTAGAGTTTCAACAGCAACATGCTCTATGCCACAGGTGACTTTTTCTTTTTGGTACCAGAGGTTGTTTCCAGGGGCACTCTAACATTGAGCTAAAGAGCTAAATCCCCAAACCTTTTTATTTTTTTATTATTATTTTGTTTAATTTTAAGATAGGGTCTTGCTAAATCACTTAGAGCTTCACTAAGTTACTGAGACAGGCTTTGAACTTGTGGTCCTCCTGCCTTAGTCTTCTGAGCCAATGGCATTATAGGCATGAACTACTGAACCCAGCCACAGACGACTCTTCATATGAAAAAAAATTTTAAGAAAATAGTAACTAAAAGCTACCCTGCTGTGTGAAGAATGACAAGAGAATATGATAAAAATCTGAGTGGTGGCTACGGGTTGTTTAAATTGCAGGTATTTGTTACAGATAGCTCCCAATATAAAGAAAACATAATATTAACAACAGCAAAAAATAAAAATCAGATGTGGTGGTGCACATCTGTAATCCCAGCAGCTTTGGAGGCTGAGGCAGGATGAGTTCTTAGCCAGCAAGGCGCTAAGCAACTCAGCAAGACCCTGTCTCTAAATGAAATGCAAATAGGGCTGGGGATGTGACTCATCTTGGTAGCTTGGTAGCGTAGTGTGCCCCTGAGTTCAATTCCCCAGTACCCCACTCCCCCCCAAAAAAGAAAAAAATGTGGGGCACATGCCTATAATCCCAGCAACTCAGGAGTTTGAGACCAGCCTCAACAACTTAGTGAGACCCTGTCTTTAAAAAAGGGCAGGGGCTTATGGCTCAGTGGTAAAGCAGCCCTGGTTCAAGCCCCAGTACAAAAGGAAAAAAAAAAAAAAAACATTCATGGTTAGGGAAAAAACAAGATATGGTAGGAATAATAGCCACACATAGTGGTATTTATAGGTGCCAATGGGTTCAGCCTACCTATTAAAAAATGTTCAGATGAGCAAAAGAAGATTTAAATCCTAGCTACATAAAGTTAGAGACACCTAAAACAAAACAGCACAGTAAGGTTGAAATAAAGGGATGGAAAGACTTTAGAAGCCTGCAAAAACAAAAGCAGGAGTAGCAATGTTAATACGTAGCAAAACTGAATTAAAGCAAAAATAATTTTAAAGGATATCTCATAAAAAGAAAGAATCACCAAGAAGGTCCAATAGTCATGAACTTTATGTCCCTAATCTCCAACAACATAACTGGGAACTATATAGAGCAAAACAAATAGAAATACAATGAAAAAAATTGACAAAGCCATAATCATAGGTACTGACTTAGAAACCTACAAGTCAAATAGGAAGAGGTAAGAACAGATGTAGAGGATTTGGATAGCATAATTAAAAAAGATTGCTATATGGGGAATGCTTTTGTTTCTTTTCTAATGCAAATGAATGGACATTAGAATTTTGACTCAGGAAATTTCCATGAATTTCAAAAAAGACAGAATTTAAGGGCAGCATCATTATACACAATGATAAGCAAATAAATAAAAAGGATATTAAAAGCCAATCGTGACTTTAAATAACCTGGATTAATTAAAAATGTGAAGTATAAATTGTAATCCAGGGCATGACAAGCTCTGCTGTCTCAGGGATGCTGGGAGGATGTATAGAAAGATATGTCAGGGACATCAGTGCAAGTTTGATGCAGGTTGGGCATCCCTTGTCCCAGTGCTTGGGACCAGAAGAGTTTTGGACTTCAGGGTTGCTTTATTAATTTTTTTCAAATTTTATTTATGTATACATAATGAGATATCATGGAGGAGGGCCCAAATAGAAACACAGAATTTATCCATTATATATATGTATGCATGTTATGTGTGTGTGTGTATCCTGTGCACATATCCTTAAGGTAATATAACAAAATATTTTTAATGTGTTTACATTTTGACTGCAACCTGTCACATGAGGTCACGTGTGAAATTTCCTCATGTTGGTGCTCAAAAAGTTTTGGGTTTTGGAGCATTTCAGACTTTGAGATTAGGGATGCTTAGCCCTGTAGTGAAAAGTTAGAAATGACTAATAAGAATAAATGAATAAAACATGGAAATACACACTGTACATTCTTTTCAGCAGTTTAATAGAATAAGATTCACGTATGGAGATAAAATCATCAAGTCACACTTTTAAGAAAATGATGAACCACCCAGTATTTGTACAGAACAGTACAAACTATTTTTATTTCTGTATGTATGAGCATATATGTACAAATCCTTTGGAAAATAATGTTGCCACACTGAGAGCTGCACTTGATTTGGGGGCCTGTGCTAGGACTAGGAATATCATCTATACTATTGGTATCATCTATACTATTTGAATTTTTATAATGGAAATATATTCTTATATAACTGTAATCGGGAATAAATTAACAGTTATAATAGGGTCACTGAAATTTTTCACTTTTGTTCCTCATTTTTAACTGATCTTTCTGCTTCTCTCAAATAGCTACAGCCAAGAAGACAGCCCCTTCAGCCTCCCAGGAACATAACTGGCACAGAAGGAGGGAAAAGGACAGAAATATAATCCCCAACGGGAGGATGCCATGTCTATATATAAACAGCTCTATCCAGGTTCAACTGCTTGTCCTGTGGGCAGAGCAATGTGTGTCCTACTGTGCTTCCCAGGGCCTCCCAGATGGGCTTGCAGGCAGGCACAGGCATGGCCATCAGCACTGGCCTGGGGCTACAAGTCTCAGAATTCACTGTGCTTTAGAAGAGCTTTGAGGGTCCTAGAAGAGCAGACTGAAGCATAGCCCTCTAAGTTTTCAAGTCATTGGCCTAGTGTTCTTCTCAGGCCTGTCCTGGCAGGATATGCAGCAAGCTTTGGAAATTTTTTTCTGAAGTGCAGAAAGATTAGGGTAGGAGATCTGGGATCTTACAGGGTTACTAATGGTGTAGAGGAAGATGGAGATCTCAGGTAGTGTGGAATGGCCACCTCCTGGGATTTCTGCTCCCAAATGACCAGGTTGCTGTAAAAAAAGGTCTCACTTCTGGATCTAGGAGTCCTAGGACTGGGTCTGAAGGGTCCTGGGAATCAGCCTGTTTAAGAATCCCCCAAGAGATTCTCATCACATATGAAAGCTTGAGCAGGATATTCAAAATGACTCTAGCCCTAAGTCCACATTCCTGTCCAGCTTCTTCCCCAGTACCCAAACCAGTAAGACCAACTCAGTAAACCCTGGAGTTCCCTAAAGCCCTGCCTGCTTAGAGAGGAAGAAGGGGGAAGGAGCAGCCCAGCAGGTCCTCTGTGTCTTCCTGAGTTGAGTGTCCTTACCCACTCCCCACACACCCTCCCAAGGTGCTCCTGGGAAGTCCCACACTATCTGCTTTCCTGCTTCTACAGAACCAGGGCTATTTAGGGCAAGGTGTTCAAAGTTCCCAAGAGGCTCATTGGGGCTCACTTTCATGAATTTTCACCTTTGTTATCAAGATTTAGAAGCTGCTGATAAAATAACTCACTGTGGGTTTGGTGTTTTTAAACCAAACCACTTCTCAAAGAGATTAATTTTTTTTTCCTTTTGGAAATGCAAACTAATAGTAAAGTAACTCCAGGCTGTAAGGTTTTGCCCCCTTGGAGGGTTAGGGAGTCTGAAGGGAGTACTTCCGGTTAAGTGGACAGCCCCTTCCAGTCTTGATTTATTCTGTGCTCTGTCATGTAACAGAAACCCATCAGTGTATAATGTATGTACAGTTCCTTCACACATTAACGCTCCATCTTGCCAACCTGATTGATTTTTCCAAGTAGACAAAGGCTAAGGATATGCTTATTGATTGCTGCTGAGCTCATTTTAAACTTATTTGTAAAGACGAGCATTTTGAGACTGAAGCAAACCAGTGGGCAAAACATCTTGGAAATTACTCAGGGTGAAATGTCTCAATGTAAAACAGTTGCCAGATATAGAAAGATATAGGTTTGGTTTTGTATGTTTATTTTTTACATTACATAAAATATTTTGATTCTGTCAAATTACTATGATATTCTTACAAACAACTTCTTATTTGATG